AGAAACCTTTTGTTTATAATAGTCTAAAGGTCTTTGGATGTTCATGTTTTCCTTTTCTTCAAACCTTTAATTATCACAAATTCAGTTTTCACTCTACTAAGTGTGTTTATGTTGGGTATAGTCTTGTCCATAAAGGTTACAAGTGCTTAAGGTTTGATGGAAAAATCTTTGTTACTTCTAGTGTCAGATTTAATGAACAAGAGTTTACTTTTCACTCTAATACCTTTCTTGATTTAGCTTCTTACCACAAATCCTCTGTTCTTGATAATTCCACCTCTACCATCACTAATTCATTTCCATACACTACAGCTCCAAGTAACACAACTCCACAACCAACCTTGAAAGATCCTTCTACAGTAGTTTGCTCTCAAAATTAGTCTATAGTCAGCATAGCAGTTGACACTAAAACCTCAACTACTTCTTGTCCTTCACCTATTATCCCACTTGATACTCTACCTACTCAAATTACCCCATCCTTTACCAAAAATACCAATTCAGATCCTGCTCATACTAATATGACTACCACCTTTACATCTCAGTCATCACAATCACCCTCACATATATACCCTTCAATTTCAACACTTCCTATAATTCCTTCGTCTATCTCGATTCCTACTTACCCACTGGAAGTTGATTTTACTCCTACTGGTTTGGAAATTGTTCCATATGCTGCCTAAATCTGTCAACCTGTCCAAGATAGCAACCCACCAAGACCTCCATAATAGCTCTTGGAAAGGTACTTTTGAAGCTCTTAACTCAGAGGTTTGTCAAGTAGTTCTTGAACCAACCATTGTCTTTGAGGCTCTTAGTAGTCTTGAATGGAGGAATGCCATGAAAAATGAGTTTGATGCTCTATTGAAGAATGAAACTTGGACCTTGGTTCGTGCTCTTCCTAGTAAGAATGTTGTAGGAAATAAGTGGGTATTTAGAACCAAGTTTAATGCAGATGGTTCTTTACAAAAATACAAGGCTAAACTTGTAGCCAAGGGTTTTCAACAAACCTCTGGCCTTGATTACTTTGAAACATTCAGTCAAGTAATCAAAGCCTCCACAATTTGCATAATCCTTACTCTACCAGTCACAAATAAGTGGGACACCCAACAAGTGGATGTAAATAATGCATTTCGCAATGGTAACTTAAATGAAGAAGTTTATATGCAGCAACCTATTGGCTTTGAAGACTTTAGTCATCGTTCCTATATGTGTAAACTAAATAAAACTTTATATGGACTCAAACAAGCCCCAAGAGCTTGGTTTTGACAAGCTAAAGGCAACCCTCTACTCCAAAGGCTTTTGGAATTCAGTGTCAGACAGCAGCCTGTTTGTTCTTAAACAAAACTCCATTTTAACATATGTACTTGTGTACGTTGATGATATTTTAATCACAGGCTTAGACAATTCCTTTATTGCTCAGCTTATGCAAGATCTAAATGATGAGTTCTCTCTTAAAACTTTTGGATCTTTGCACTACTTTTTAGGTTTAGAAGCCATAAGAAATACTATTGGAATCACCTAAAATAGAGCAAATATGCCTCTGATTTTCTGTCTAAAACTAGAATGATGGATTGTCATGCTTGTGCCATACCCATGGCAGTAGGAACTAAGTTGTGCTCAACTGATAGTGAGCCTTTTTCTTATCCAAGTCTGTATAGAAGCACAATTGGTGCCCTACAATACCTAAGCCTCACTTGGCTTGACATTAGTGATCCAGTTAATAAATTAAGTCAGTTTTTGCAAGCACCTACAACTCTTCAGTGGCACTCATGTAAAAGAATCGTACTGTATATCAAAGGCACTATAGATTATGGGTTACATTTCAAGGCAACAAGTGTTTTAAGAGTGGAATGCTATGCTGATGCTGATTAGGGTAGCAATATGAAAGATCAGAGGTCCACTAGTGGCTATTGTGTCTATATGGGTCCTAACTTAATACAATGGAGTTCAAGAAAACAAAAGGTTGTTGCACTCTTCAACTGAGGCAGAGTACAGGGCTTTAGCTCAAACAACAATAGAAATTACTAGGCTGCAGAGCATGTTTGAAGAGTTGGGGTTAATTGTTGAAGTCACACCCGTTATTTGGTGTGACAATGTAAGTGCTGCAGCTTTGGTAGCCAATCCAGTTTTCTATGCTAGGACTAAACATATGGAGATTGATGCTCATTATGTTAGGGAGCAAGTCCTAGCCAAAAGGTTAAAAATTCAATATGTGCCTTCCAAGCTCTAGATTGTTGATATGCTCACAGAAGCCTTACCAATTGTTCAATTTACTGATTTAAGAAGCAAACTGAATGTAGTTATTGATTGCTTGAAATGTCTCAGTAGCTGTTGTGTTCTTTTAGTGTAGAATGTTCTCAATAGTTGTCGGATGAACAGATTGGTTGTTTGAAATGCCTCAATAGTTGCTATGTTAGTGTAGAAAAGATAAGTTTTTGGAGTAGTGTACAAGTTTTGCTTGAAGACTGGTGCAGAATAGTTGCAAAAAGTTCTCAAAAGTTACTGTGTTGATACTAAATGCAACAAGTTTCTATTTTAGACTTCAGATTATGAGACTTCAGATTGCGTGTTTCAAACTCAGAGATGACATGACAAGTGTAGGAAGTCTTTATTTCAAGTCTCTGAACTTGAATCTCAGAATCAAAATGTTTTTGGTTCAGACTTTGGTTCAGAATTTTTGTTTTAGGTTAAATTTGTTGCATATGGAAGTTGAAGCTATGTAGCTAGAAATTGAAGCTTTGTTTATTTAGGTTTTAGAACTTGAGTCTTAGATTTAGAATGTCCTTGGTTAAGATCTTTTGTGTTGTAGAATTTCTGAAAGATTTGCTGGAAATTGAAGCTTTTGTGTTGTAAACATGACAAGTGCAGAAAGTCTTTATTTTAGGTTTCAGAACATGAATCTCAGAATCAGAATGTTTTTGGTTTAGACTTTGGTTCATAATTTTTCTTTCAGTTTAAATTTGTTGCAGATGGAAGTTGAAGATGTGTAGCTGGAAATTGAAGCTTTGTTAATTCAGGTTTCAGAACTTGAGTCTCAGATTTAGAATGTCCTTAGTTCAAATCTTTTGTTTTGTAGAATTGCCGAAAGATTTGCTAGAAATTGAAGCTTTGTTAATTTAGGTTTCAGAACTAGACTCTTAAATTTAGAATGTCCTTGGTTTAGATTTTTTGCTTCAGTTTAAATTTGTTGTAGCTAGAAGTTGAAGCTCTGTAGCTGGAAATTAAAGTTTTGTCGACTTAGTTTTCAGTATAGATATTAAATGCTCGTGATGGTAGTTGCTGGAACCAAATTAGTTGGAAGTTGTTGTCTTTGGTTAATGTAGATCGGTTTCAAGGGGAATGTTAGGATTTAGAAGAAAAAGGGATCAGATAATTATTTGTTAAAACGTCAAGACTAAAATGTAATTGTGTAAAACGGTTGTAGTGAAACTACAACCGTTTTACTAGATCTCTCTACTCTCTCTCTCTGCTCTTCTCTTAACACAATATAAAAGAGAAGAGGAAAGTTGTGTATTAGTTAGTTCAGTCATTCTACTGAATACACTCAATTTTCATCCCAAATTGTTCTAGAATTCTCTCTAAATTTCTCACCCTAACACGTCACACCCGAACACAGCTTGAGAACCACCCAAGCTCCAATCACCAATGCCACGCACTAGCATCAGCAAAGGAATCACGTTCCAAAAGCCATTCAAACAAGTAGGTTTGGCACAAGAGAAATGAACCTTTGAACCTTTGAAGAAAAAAACACTCTAAAGAAATTTCAAAGCGCAAAGAAGTATAAAATATCAAAAGGTTAGAATAAAAAACGCAAGAGAAGATATTATATAGAGAGGGTTTCTCGGTCAACAATTTTTGCCAAGTCAGCCAACAAGGGCTGACCCATGTTTGTCCAAATAAGAAAGAGATTCATTCTTTTGGTTTGAACCACAAACAAATCAGGAAAAATCAACTTTATTCCTTAAAACACAAATGGATATATTGACACTTGTAAAAGGTCCTAAAAAGGTAACAACCAGATAAATAAATATCTTTGCTACTTTATCAAAAATGCAAGTCGCCAAGGTTGCAAATATCTGGAGCGAGTGTGCAAGCAAAAACTATTGTGCACATACACTCAATATGAAACAAGCCAAAACATAAGTTTGACAACCTTTGTGCACACACATAAGTTTGACAAAAATATTCTATATTATATATATATATTTTTGTTTGATAACCTGGTGTCCGGATTAGCTTACACGCATCTCAACTGGTCTTGGGGGTCCATTGAACACCCTACAAATCCAATAAATTAGGTAAGTTATAAATGTGATAGGTGACCATTTGTGAGACTCTAACACAAAACTTTTTTCTTTTGTTTTCAAATGTTGTGTAATCCTCCAACAAAATAAAAGAATATTAGAATTACTACTCTAATCACATTTCTCCTTTCGCTATTCATAAAATAATTTTAATTTTAATTTGAGACCTTAGATTGAATGATCTCATGACTGTTGTTTCTTTCTGAAGGTAAAATAAGTAGTATTTCGGATTTGAATTTCGTGAAAGTGTTACATTTTAAGTTCAATTGTTCATTGCTTTGGTCAATATATAACATGCGGACCCCCACCACGCGCAAAGGAAATTACGATAGATTTTTCGGATAATAAATTCCGAATTCTAACCACCACCACTCCTTTACTTGTTGACTCTTAATCGTGCATTGACTCCTGAAATACGTTGAAGACTGAAGACAAAAAGAAACATGCAGTCACTGACTCTAATTGCTGTATACACACTGACTAATTACATATTAATTTTGTAAGGAAAAAATGGACGAAAGAACAGTTGAATTTGATCCTCAGCAGCAGTTTGAAGTAAGTATGTATTTCCTCATGTTAATTCAATTTCAGTCTTCACAAAAAATCTCTCATGTTGTGTGCAATTTGTACTCAGGTGGGAAGGGAAAAAATCAGTGAGGGAATGAAGTGTTTGCAAGATTTAGTACAATGGTGCAACATTATCACAGAGAAGGGTGGAAAGCCTGACGAAACTATCGCCTATGTTCAATCTCTTCAACCACAAGTAGAGGTAGCAACTACTAACACGTTTAATCGTCTTGAATTTTTTTTGAATAGTTTTTTATTTTTTTTATATGGTCTATGCGATTGTTTAATGTTAATTAACTGGATCTTCTGATCATCACATGAAACAGTTCTTGCATGTCCTATTAAAGAACCCAGCTTATGTGAATCCCCGAGTTGAGTACAACATCTTTAACAAACAGGTGAGGATCAAGTGTCAATTTCATCTATAGTTCAATCCATACATAGTTTCTTATTTTTCTCTTTTCCATTAAAATATGAAGGAGACTGAATCTTTGGCGGCATGTCTCTATCTTAGTACCTTTTCTCTCTAAATCTTATATATATCTATGAAAGAAATTTGAGTCAGATGTCAGAAAAAATTCTATCTATAATATAACTAGATCAATATATTGATTACAGTTGTAAGAATTGATTTGGTCATCCTTCAATTTTTATAAGATTCGTTCTGTCCTGTTGAGCCTAAATAAATTAGCTTTTTATTGCTTTTAAGGTTGTCTTTGTGTATAAGTTGATAGGAAATTACTCAAATCAGAAACCAAAATGCTAATTTTGAGCCTACTCTTAATCAAGACAATGAAATTGTGAGTCCAAGTGTGGAGAGGTCATCACGGACTAAAAGAAGAAAGTTGAAGTCAAAAGTATGGGATGACTTCACCAAGTACGAAGGAGAAGATGGGAAGGAATTGGCTAAATGTAATCACTGCGAGAAAGAGTTTGTAGGTTCAAGAAAGAGTGGAACCACTCATCTCAAAAATCATTTAGAAAGATGCAAAAGTAAAAGTAATCCTGGAGGTGTGGATAAATCGATTGAAACAAGTGCTTCTCTAACTACTCCAGTTGTTATCAAAGAGAAATCTATGGTTGATCAAGAATTAGGTCATTTGGATGAGACAAGGATGATTATTAAGTACTGGGTTCCATCAGTGGCGTCCAGGAAGGATGATATACTTAAAGTTTACGAAGACGAGAAGGAAAAGCTGCTTAGATATTTCAACAAACTCCCGTGTCGTTTTTCTGTAACAATGGAGTGGTGCGGTGAGAACTCAGATAACTTTTGGTTTATAGCTTTCTGTTTTATTGATGATAGTTGGGAATTGAAGAAGAAGATTATTAATTTGCCAAAATATAGATTTGATGAGAATTTCTACAAAATTCTGAAGCGTTCACTTCAGGATTGGAACATAGACAAAAAAATATGTTGTATGATTGATAATACAATTCCATTTTACAGTGGAACGAGTGAAGAATTTAGTCAGATTAATAACTGGTTGAGTGAGCAAGGTTCACTTCCTTGCATTGGGAGCATTTTCCCATTTTCTCGTTTGTTACGCAAACTTCAATATAATCTAATTTGGAAGAGTACCGAATGGAAAATTGACATTTTCTTTAAGATGGAGAAGGTTTTGAAGTACCTCAAGAAGACGTCATCAAATGAAAAAAAGTTCCAATCTGCAGTAGATAAAGCAAAGTCGATAGGCAAGAAAGTAGCTTCTCAAGGTATTCCTGATTTTCAGCTATGGGGCTTCGAACTAATTGAGTGGGTAATGGGATTTAGGGAAGCATTCTGTCAACTGAGAGTATAGATCCTGATTTTCAGTCAATAAATTTTGTAAGAGAGGATTGGGATAAGGCAAGGCAACTGCACTATACGAAAGTTGGAGAGTGTTAAAAGATGCTAGTCGTAGCTTGTCTGATCGCAAATATAATACTGCAAATCGGTGTTTTCCAATGATGTATCACATATTTTTTAAATTTCTTCATTGGGAAAAAAGTGGTGACCATTATTTTCGTGACATAGCTTCAAGTTTGAGAAAGGATTTTGATGAATATTGGAAATTTCTAACTTGATTTTGCTGATTACAGTGGTTCTTGATCCGAGATTCAAAATGGATATTGTAGAACGTTGGTACAAGGAGATTTATGGCAATGTTGTAGACACACACCTCAAGATAGTCACTGATGCTGTTACAAATATTTGCAATGAATATGCAGAGCGCGCTTGCAATTCTGAATCATCATCCACTTGGGGCTGCGGTGAAATGCTAGACGACATGTGGAGGCAACACAAGGATATAGCTCGATCCAGAATAAGCTCGGCAACTATGATTGATCGACCCAGCATAAGTTTGTCGAGTTGTAACTCGACCCAGCATAAGCTTGTCGAGTTGTAACTCGACCCAGCATAAGCTTGTCAAGTTGTAGCTCGACCCAGGATAAGCTAGTTGTGAACAATTCGAGGAATCATTCAATCAATCCCTAGATTACTTTAGATCTTAGATATTGCGGGAATGACTGGATCAACAGTTATCATTGTGCAATCACAGCACCCAATCGCAAGGATATTAGAATTATGATTCAAATCAATTGTAATCCCCTTAATTTTGTATCTTCCTTTATACAAATCTTGTATATAAACCCCTTTAGACAATGAGGAGAGGTTCACGAAATTTCTTATAAGAATTGCATGGTAAGCTCTCACAGCAAATACAAAAACACAGTGGACGTAGGCTGTTAACTTTGCCGAACCACTTTAGAAATCTCTTGGTCTTTCAGTTCATTTCACTCATATTCATTGCTGATTATCATTAATCATGCACACATTGGTTTCGATCCCAACAAGGTCGATTAGATCTTGCTGGTTGGTGTAAAATTATGTATCAACATTTTGACGCTAAAAAGAGGGCCTCTACCAATATTTCAAAGGTTCCGGCAAACATTCACCGTAATTTATCAGTTCCAAGACCAAAATGGTGTACACCAGATCGAGAACTACCACTGGAAATCATGAGAACGTGGAAACCACCAACTAGGAGATGCAACAGGAGAACGCTGGACGCCGACCACCTGTGCCACCAGCTTTGCACAACGCAAACAACTAAGGGGCAGGTGCGTCAAACCCCGACAATGGCTAGTTGATGGAGATTATCAGAATGATGGTTGCAAAGGTGTGCAACAGAACATGGCTGAGCTGAGGAAACAACAACCAATGGCCCAGAATCTCGATTAGCCGCACTTCGCCAACACCAACCCAATAGATATGAATTCTGCAAGTGGATCCGTTTCGTCGCTGCCAAGGGGTGATCAACACTGCAACCTCGCAGGCAATGTTGCAAGCACGAGTGTGAGACCCGCAGGCAAACGAACCCTAGGTTGCTACCGGGAAAGCAGCCGTTGAGGGAAAACAAAGGCGACGGACACCACTGAGAAGCTCAACCTTCACATGCCCTAGACAAGATCGATCTTTGTAGGCTAGCGAAGCGAGCCATGTGCGTTAATTTGGCAATGACTGACATTCCAATTATGATCGACGTTGCGAGCAACACACTGACATCATAATAGCTATCAACCTAGCCATCATGACTCAACCTCACTCATTAACATGCATACTGGAGGAGCTTCGCAAGCAACAACAACAAACTTGCGAACTCATTTGCTCAAGGTACGTCTTAACAGATCCAGCAAGGGCAACCAAAATGAAGACTTAGATCGCATGCAGAAGATACTCGACGATCTAAGAGCTCGCTAGAACAACCTGGCAAAGGAAGTACTAAGTTCCCCCTTTAAAAAGGAAGTTTGCTAGGCTCTGCTCCCATAAGGGTTCAGAGTGCCGAAAAATAAGTTCGACAAGAGAGGGGGCCCCAGAGATCACCTCGACAACTTTAATGACCCAATGGAGCTACACCAGGTTAGTGATTTAGCGAAATGCCGGTGCTTCGCAGTCACATCAGTCGGAGATGCTAAGAGGTGGTACAAAAGGCTCAAGGCGAACTCCATCAACTTTTGGCAATAATTCTCCTTATTGTACTTACAACAATTTTAGGTGAGGAGACAGTTCGCAATGCCGCTCAGCTACTTGAGCAACATTCGCCAAGAGTGAGATGAATCACTGACCTCATATTTAACGAGGTTCCAGAACGAGTAGGCAAAGGTCGCTGATGCGCCAAAGAATTTATTCAACCTCTATTGATCATAGGAATCAGACCTAACACGGAGTTGTAGAAAAAGCCCTAGAGTGAAGATCATGTGAGCTTGGCCAAATTCTACCAGATGGCTGTGAAATACCAGTGAGTAGAGAGCTTGTTAGTGGCATAATCCAGAAGCTCGACACGGGCGGCCCCGGACAAAAGACAAGATTACCCCTCGAATAAGAGTGGGGGCCAAGATCGCAACGATAGGGATTGCAACAGGTTCCAAAAGATATAGAGAGTAGATATCAGCGAAGACAGGCAACCTTTCCCAGGGTATGCAGAATACACCCCCTTCACTCAAGACATCGCCCATATCAAGAGACTACCCGTTTCGAAAATGATGAGGAGGGCCTCGGGTAGAAGAGATCGACAGAAATATTGCTAGTACCACAAGGATATCGACACAACACGAATGATTACCAAGTCTAAAGGGCGTCATTGAGGACCTGATAAGAAGAGGCCATCTGAAAGAATCTGTTAAGGCAGAACCAGCTCGTAAGAATCCTGGCAAGCAAAGTAACCAGGTCCTAAGTCAGGTTCAGACCCCGGCTCAGCAGGCTCTACCAAACCTCAACGAAGTTTTTGTGAATATGATCTATTGAGGACCAAATATAGCGGGAAGCTCGAGATGAGCTCGTGAGCAATATGCTCAGGAGGCCAGAACAAACTCGTTCCTCGAGTAATGAGTTACAAAAAGAAGCCGTTCAAGCAACCTAAATAGGAAAGCAAGGTTTTGGGGTTCACAATTGACAAGTGTGAAACATCCCTTCGTCATAATCATCACGCGATTGTAATCGCAGCCAAGATCAACAATGCAAGAGTGTTGGGGGTTATGGTCGACAACGAGAGCATGACAAACATCATTTTCTTGGGAGCCTTCCGAGGAATAGGATTCATAGAAAGGAACCTGTGAGGGTGCTCTTCGCTGCTCTATGGGTTTACTGGGGACAACTTGGTTCCCAAAGGTACTATCAGCCTTCCCATAACTCTAGGGGTAGAACTGAAGGTCAGAATAGTGATGGCCGAATTCTTAGTGGTGGACTGCCCGACCATGTACAACGTCATCTTTAGAAGGCCAATCCTGGATCATTTAAGTGCGGTCACATTGGTGCGTTGCCAAGCAATGAGATTTTTGACTTCTTGGGGAGTCACAACAATAAGGAGCTGCACCAAGGAATTTCGAGAATATTATAAATGTCGCATAGAAATGGCCACACTTAAAGACAATGATCATTGCTAGATCCAAGTCGAACTCCAGACCGCTAGAGGATACTATAGATCCTCGCATCCACAAAGAAGAGCCCGTAGTGGAATTGACTGAAGAGCTACTAGAAATAAGTATTAGAAACGAAGATTCAACTCACGTGCTAAAGATATATAGCAGCTTGCCCAGAGAAATGCCAATTAATCTGGTCGGGTTACTGAAGAAGAAACTCGACGTATTTGCGTGGGTGCACACAGATATGGTTGGGATCAGCCCTGAGGTGATGTGCCATAGGTTGAACCTCGACCCACAGGCTCATCTCATAAGGCAAAAAAGAAGGGCTATAGATGCATAGCACTCTCAAGCACTCAAGGATAAAGTTGACAAACTCCTAGAAATCAGCTCCATCAAGGACGTCAAGTACCTGGACTGGCTTGCCAACCTAATCCTGGTCTAGAAGTCGAATGGCAAGTGGTGGACTTGTGTCGACTTCACGAATTTGAACAAAGCCTATCCAAAAGATAGTTTTCTACTACCATGGATCGACCAGCTAGTAGATGCGACAGCGAGAAACACACTACTTAGCTTTATGGATGTGTACTCAGGATATAACTAGATCTCGATGTACTAGCCTGATAAATTACTAACTATGGAATTTATTGTTACAAGGTTCTGCCGTTTAGCCTTAAGAACGTTGGGGCGACCTACCAACACTTGGTGAAAAAGATGTTTGCCAACCAAATCAGTCATTTCACGGAAGTATACATCGACTACATACTCATCAAATCAAAGGTCGTCGAAAGCCATATTGATCACCTAGAGGGAAATGTTCGACATCTTTAGAAAGTATCAAGTGTAGCTCAATCCGTTGAAATATGCTTTTGGAGTGAGCTCCAGAAAATTCCTAGGCTTCCTCATGAACCAACTGGGTATAGAAGCTAACCCAGAGAAGATTCAGGCCTTGCTTGACATGAAAAGCCTGACTGGCATAAAACAGGTGTAGAGCCCGATTGGATGTGTGGCCATGCTCATCAAGTTCGTTTCCTGAGCCACGGACAGGTGTTTACCATTCTTTGAGACGTTGAAGGGGAAGAAAGGTTTCAAATGTATAGAGGAGTGTAAAAGAGCCTTCTAGGAGCTGAAGAAACACCTTAAACAACCTCCCTTACTGTCAAAGCCCATCCAAGGCAAGCTACTACTACTGTATTTGTCAATATCAAAATCCATTGTCAGTGCGATGTTAGTACGCAAAGAGGGAGGAATACAATGACCAGTGTACTATGTAAGCAAAAGACTGCTCGACGTAGAAACGAGGTACCCTAAGATGGAGAAGCTCGACTACGCCCTTGTTGTTGTCTCTAGGAAGCTGCAACCTTATTTTCAGGCACACTCCATCCATGAGTTGACGAACATCCCTTTGAAAAAGATAATGCAGAAGCCCAAGGCATCAGGTAGACTGATCTAGTGGACAATGGAGATGAGTCAGCACGACATCAAATATATCTCAAGGACATCGATCAAAGGCCAAGCCATGGCAGACTTGGTATCTGAGTTCTCCTATCAGTTAAAGGCCGAGTCAAACCCGCTAGAGGCAAATACCTCGAGAGAGATTGAGTAACAAAAACCAAAGAGTGACGACTTATGGCTATGGACTCTATATATTGACGACTCCTTGAATGAAAAGGGAGCAGGAGCAGGCCTCTTGCTTGAAAGTTCAGAAGGAGACCCAATCAGAGCCATAGTAAGGTTCGAGTTCTCCGCCTCTAATAACAAAGCTGAATAGGAGGCATTGCTTGCAGGTATCCGTCTCGCCAGGGAAATGGGGGTAGAGTTCATCAAGATTTATGGTGTCTCACGGCTCGTGGTCCATCAAGTTACTAGGGAATACCAGGCAAAGGAAGATAGGATGACATCCTACCTCTAGCAAGTAGAGACCAAGCTTAGATAGTTTAAATCTTTTACCATCCACTAGATCCCAAGGGAGAAAAACTTGCAGGCA